GCAGTGGGGAGGACGGATCGGGGTCACTATAAATCTGGAGGGGACAAGTCCCCCCCATCCCCAGTGCCATCTGCGCGCATATATGGAGATATTGTGTGGTTTCAATTATGTTTTTGGATATTTGAATCTGGGGTGCCTTAAAGGAATAGTGCACCCAAAAATGAAAATTCAGCCATTATCTACTCACCCATATGCCGAGGGAGGCTCAGGTGAAGTTTTAGAGTCCTCACATCCCTTGCGGAGATATGGAGATATGGATATCCAGATATGGAGATATTTTGTGGTTTCAATTATGTGTTTTTTTGATGTTTTAATCTGGGGCACCCAGCCTGCATTAGGTGGAGTTGTGCTGCTACCCTCTCCCCTTGGATCTCCGCAAGGAATGTGAGGACTCTAAAACTTCACCTGAGCCTCCCTTGGCATATGGGTGAGTAGATAATGGCTGAATTTTCATTTTTGGGTGCACTATCCTTTTAAGCCTCCATTAGGTGGAGTTGTGTTGCTACCCCCTCTCCCCCTGGATCTCCGGAAGTGTTGTGAGGACTCTAAAACTTCACCTGAGCCTCCCTCGGCATTTGGATGAGTAGATAATGGCTGAATTTTCATTTTTGGGTGCACTATCCCTTTAAGGGGTGCAAAGGTAGTCGCCCAGGCTAAACAGGGACAGTGGTTGAATTGGGAAAGTGCAGAGAAGAGGAAGCTTAGTTGGAGGGACTTGTGGAATATGGAGAAGAATCGTACTAGATTCCTGGTAGGGGCTACATACAATGTGTTAATAACCCCCTAGAACCATCATGCCCCATGTGTTCAGGTACCGCAACCTTAAAGCATATTTTGTCAGGCTGTAAAGTTAGCTTGTCAGAAGGCCGGTATACATGGCGGTATACATGGCGACAGGCATCGAAGGAAAACAAAGACAGGCAAATTCAGATGGTTTTAAGAATAGGAGTTTAGCAATTAGTTTGTCCGTGAGGGGGAGAAATACAGAAGTGATAAGTTAGTAAGAAGGCAAGGGTTTGGCCGCAAATTCAAGGTTTTTATGCCACGAGTTCCTGGAGGGACTGTATATTAGAATTATGATATGTGGCGTGTGAAATAGGGTATGGTGAATGTGCTAGGAATGTATTGGCACTGTCTCTACCTGGAGCTCGCATAAACTAAGCCTGGGTTTGTTGAAGGTGGCAATGCTGTTTGGGCTGAGAAAGCCTGTGAGTTTATCTTCTCTATCTCCTTTAACTTTAGCTTATATTGGAGCTATGATATGTAGCATGTTAAATAGGGTATGGTGAATGTGCTAAGAGAGATAGTATCGGCACAGTCACTACCTGGAGCTCGCATAAACAGAGCCTGGGTTTGTTGAAGGTGGCAGTGCTGTTTGGGCTGAGAAAGCCATGTGTAAATAAGGTAAAGGAGGTTGTTGGGTCAGTGCGGGGAGCAGTGAGAGCTGGCATTAGGGGAGTGTCTCTGGGATGCCAGGGATCACTGTCTAGCCTCCTGGAGGTGTCGTGGGACCAACTAGACAAAACACTGGTGAACGGAGGTTTCCACCTGATGACCCCAAAGACATGTTAGTTATCACTGCTCACTGGTCTGTATAGTTAAGCCTTGCCATAATAGCTTATCATAGGGCTTAGGAGGTTATTCACTGAGCACTGATCCTTTATCTAGAGCACAAATTTTGTAAGGAAAATGCTCAACTTCAGCAAACACTGAAATGAAGAAACTCGGAGAACCACGGAGGAAAGTTACAGCCAACGGGGTTACTTTAATCGCAGAACTCAGCATACAACAGTATACTAGTCTACACAGCAAAACAGTGAAACAGCCCAACAGCAATCACCCTTCAAATGCGTTTATAATGGGCGTCTGCTCGTTCATGTGCGTGTGTGTGTATGTGTGTGTGAACACGCTTGGGTCGTATTTCCTGGAAATCTAAAGTTCTCCTGATTTCCTACTTATTCCTAGAGCTGGACTTCGTGCGTCAATATTTCCTGTCTCCTTTGTCTCTCTGGCATAAACAACCGTTCCTATTGCGAAACTTGGCACATCTGTTCCAACGGTCAGGTCACCCTAACCCAGAACGTTCTCCCTCATTTAACCTCCCAAGGCTTGACTTACGCACAAACTACTTAAATTATCAAAACACCTCTTATGGGTCCTTTTTACTGCCAAATCTGATATTTGACCAGCTGCTTCCTAAACCTAGTGTAATTGGCCTTATTTTTCACCTTTGGTATAAAATGAAACATTATCTGCTTCTACAATTTCTTGTGTTTATTTGAACTCCCCCTCTGACTTTGATAGATTCAATGCTAATAAACTTCAATAAAGAGATACTGTGGTGGGCTCGTGTAAAATGGACAGTAACAGGACTGGATGGGTCATGGTTTCTAATAGTACACCTGTGTTCAGTAATCCTAGTTTTTAAAGGTCTTGTTGTCTAACCAATATGCCACTGGGGCATTGTAACATGTAAATGATAGGGTCGCAGTGGTACAGGAAGCCCACGGCACTGTCCGTACCTTGGTTTTTGGGCCACGGTTTCGGTTCGGTATGTGTTTTGTGCGTAAAGACCCAAAATTATCTCTTTATTTTGCTTGACTTTGCCCTTGACATGCTGCTGTGTTGTGATCCAGCCTATTCAAGTGCTGGAATTTGTTATTTGTGAGGGGGTGAGAGGGCGGAGCCACAACAGTGATTGGACATTAACTTGCGGGGAGGGCTTTTGTGCAGCAGGCTGACTCGGCCGTTCTCTTTATACATCCATGGACTTGGCCTGTGGATAGGGAGACACACACACACACAGTGGCCTCGAAAGCATCAATGTAAAACTAATTGCAAAACCCAAAAACCCGCGGTCCATAAGGGCATATTGTTCCGTGCAGGGTGGACCGAACGGTTCAATATTTTACAGAGGACCGTTGCATCCCTAGTGCACCTTGTGGCTTTTTCTGCAGCCTAACTTGCAGACTGGATGGCCCTCTTCTTGGCCACCCCTGTGACGCCCAATCAGCCAAAGACTTTGCAGAGTGAGCACCCTGCAAAGTCTCTACAGCTTGTAGAATGTCCTCCAGCCCTTGCCCCTGCACTCCTCCACCAGTTCCTGGTACTTTGTGCGTTTCCTCACATTGGCTTCCTCAATCCGCTCTCCCCAGGGCACCATGAGTTCCAGCATGATCAGATGTTTTGAAGTCTCAGAGTTGATGAGCATGTCTAGCCGGAGGATCATTGTTGTGATGTGCTGGGGGAACTGCAGCTGCTTTCCCAGGTCGACCTGCAGCTGCCAATCAGGGGCTGTGTGGAGGAGGCCTGTTGTTGTCTGTGGACGCGCTCAGGGTTTCTCTCCGTCTTTGATGAACAGGATTGCCTTCTTGGGAGAATGATGGTGTTTGCTGGTGCTGATGGCTAAGGCTACGCTCTCAGCAACTGCTTTGAACACCTGGTCATGACGCCAAAGATAGCGGCCATACGCCAGGGCCTTTGGGCAGTTGCTGAGGAGGTGTTCTAAGGAGCCTCTAGAGCCGCAAAGGAGGTAGGAAGGTGTCTCACTCTTCCCCCAGACATGGAGGTTTGCTGGGCTTGGCAGAGCATCATAGACTGCTTGCACAAGGAACCGGATGCGATGGAAGTCTGCCTGCATGATGTTAGACCAGGTGACCTTACACTGCAACGTGCTCTCCCACCCCGTCCACTTCCCCTGCTGCCAGAGTCCCACTGCCCTGCACACTTGCTCTTCCTCCATGCCTGCCCGGACCTCTTCCTGGAGTAGCTGATGTCTCTCCTTGCCCCGGGCCTTGCTGACCTGGATCTTTGGGAAGTAGCCCAAGCCTGCTCTTCCTGTTGCCAAGGCCCCCACCAGTGCCTTTTGCCTTTAGTGTGACTCCGCCACCTCCACTGCCTCTCTGCCTTCATTTCCTTCCTGTCCTCACCTCAATGCCGGCTAATGACACCTTACAGTCTCTGGAATCCCTGTACTGCAGGGCTTCTCTTGTGTGTGCCACCATGAACTCTTCTGTGAGACCGCTGAAGGATAGCTGCCCTGTACATACAGGGTATCTTCCTTTCGAGGGATTCCACTGTTGTCACTGGGACTGCGTAGATGAGCAGATGCTACAAGACTCCGGACAGGATGGAATGTTGGTAGATCCAGGCTTTAAATCTACCAGGCAGGACCGGATTTGTCCACCTTGGTGAGCCAAGCTCCAAGCTCTTCATTGGACTTCTGGATGGCAGCAGAATCTTTTAGGCTGGAGTTGAAGAGCTTCCCCAAGCTCTTGACTGGTTACTCAGTGATGGATGGGAATACAATTCCTGCGATTGAAAAACGGAATTTGTCAATTACTTTCCCCTTCTTCAGCACCATGGACCTTGACTTGGAGGGCTTGAAACTCATCCTTGCCCATGTGATGAGTTTCTCAAGTCCTTCTAAAATCCACCTGCTCCCTAGGATTGATGTTGTTGTGATGTTTTTTACGGGGGACTGTCGTACACCTGACTTTATTAAGGGCCCTCTGCATTCCACTTCGGCAGCCTTGACCACCATGTTCATTGCAAGGGCGGAGAGGGTAACAGAGATGGTGCAGCCTGTTATTATTCCTTTCCCAAGGTGATGCCAGTCTGATGTTTCTAACCCAGATGTGACCCTGAGCCTGAAATTGTTATAATAATTCAGGATCAGGTCCTTGATCTTACTGGGAACATGGTGAAGGTGTAGAGCAAGCTCAACCAGTTTGTGTGGTATGGACACGTAGGCATTGGTAGTCGAGGTAGGATACGCCACTGCGGCCTAGGGTAGATGCTGTGCAGGCTGCCTTGATGACCTCCTCAACCTCCTTCAGACTTCCCAGGGGTTCCCTATTGGACTATGGATTCATCACTCTCCTTAAATCAAACCATCTCTACAGGGTCTAATCGCCAAAGACTTTCCACATTCTTATTCATTCGTTCACATGTTAATAAATATTCTTTTACCATAAAAACGTGTCTCTCCTGATTTAAAAAGTGTTAATCACACTGCTTAGAGCACAGGAGTACACAGTAATCGGTTGTCATATATCTCATATTCTTTGTGTGTGTTAGGCAAGGAACAGATGTGACTAGAACAGAATGTAACCTTTCCACTGCGTGTAGTCATAATTCCCTTTGGCCATTCCACCTGCTACTAGGCACATGGAGACCTGTACCAGGATGATGGTGGCCTATATCTATGTACACCTTTGGTACCATTTACTATGTCTATGTAAACTAGCCTGATTTATGATGTCAATGCTAACCTTATTAAAAAATTACCCAGAGGAAGTCCTGGAGATACTGGTGGCAGACGCAGCCAGGCATGAGCGGTTATGACTATATAGTTTCCCTTATTTGCCAGACACCATTAGAGTTGAGCGGAGGTTGAGTGACCAATGGGAAGGAGGGACCTTCCAGCCCCTAGAAAAACTGCATAAAGAGTGCTGTGTTCATAACAATTCAGTCTGCTCCCAGGACCGGGCTTGAGTTTGTTGGTGTTGCTGTCTTAGAGAACACAGGAAACTCTGCTTTTGCATCAGACTTTTTTTCATCTCCAGAGAGTTGTTGGGAATCCAGCGTGGTTTCTTTTTGAATAGTTAAAAGTGGCTTTTTGTAGATTGTTGGGCAGCTGTTTTGGACTAATCTGGCCCCAGTTTGAGACAAGACTGCCACAACGATTTCCACTAGTGAAAACACTACTAGTCAGCCCTATTGATTTAACTTTAAAATCTCTTGCCATAGCCTATACCTTAAGGCATGCAGGCAGTCAAAAACTGACTTCATGTAGGCTAATTCCACCCCCAATCTCAAAGCTATGGAGTCAAAATTTTGAAGCTGCCAATTTCACATGTAACCAGGTACAATATATGGTTTAACACAGGCACTGGTCTAGTGCTGAAAAAGAAGAGCACGAGACAAATAGTTTGTTTAAGGCCTTTTATGCATTTTCACATAAACTTTCTTTCAAAAGAGATGCAACACAGAAATACTGCAATCAGAGCCAAGTTTTCACAGTAAAAAAAGTTAAAAAAACAAATCCGAACATATGATAAATTTAAAAAAAAAAAAAAAAAAAAAAAAAAAAAAAAAAAAAAAAAAAAAAAGATTGAAACATCTGAAAAAGGTGAAAATTTTCAAATATAAACTGTTTTCAAAGCAAAAACACTGAACAACTTCATGCAGAATATTCATACATTTTGAGGTAGCTGGTAAAAAGAACAATTTTTTTGTTGACACCTAAACATTCAGAAACAATGCCATTCCAATAGGCATCTGATAGTGATACACATACAGTGTACATACATACATATATATATATATATATATATATATATATATATATATACATACACACACACACACACACACACACACACAAACTGTTAAAATACAGAAAATGCTTTGGAAAATCAGGAGATCCACTTAATTACAACAACAGTAACTGATGTTTTCACTCATCAAGCACCTGTCAGTTTGGGAGTGAAACAAATTGTAGAAGCTGCCACCTTTTCCCTCACTGACTGGGTCTCAGAGGGGTCTACTTGTCTTCCCAGTCCAGCTCAATTCTACAAAGAACAGCAGGAAAGAAATGGATTATGCCTGTATCTCTCAAACTAGAAAACCAGATGAAAAATACACAATGTGTCTGTTGGCTTTAAAACAATTGTTGTTATGCATATGAAAATGTATTACCTTTCATTGGCTTTGTCACCGTTTTTCCACTTGTAATTTTTACCAACAAAGCCTTCTGTAAAAATAAAGGTTAGGAACATGGGTTTTAATCAGACACCTTAAAAAAAACTTAATTTGACTATTATATGTATTTATTAACGACAAATAATGATCATTTTAGCGACTTCAAAAGAACACACTTAGTTTTACTGTGGGGTCCCGATGTATGTCATTTGTCCTCTGTATGGCCTCAGTCCTGCTCCTCTTCATCAGGAGGGGTGTGGTCTTGTGCAAGTTGTGCCTCTGTTTGGGTACCTTGTCACGGTGACTTGGTCCTGGTCTAGCTTCCCTCAATGAATTATTCAAAGTTCTCAAGTCCTCCTTCATTCCCAGGCTAGTTTTTCCATTTCTCCTGGTCTGGAAGTGAACTGGGGTATAACCTTCCTTCCACCCTTTCACCAGTCTTTCCCGTAATGATTTTTCAGAAAATGATGGGCCTTTTGTGTTAGTGCAGGGATTTAATGTTGAGGGGGTGCTGTGAGACCGGTGTCGTTTAGGTGAAGACAAATGCTGTGTAGGAATAGATGAGCTCTGCTTAGATGAAGTAGAACTACTGGAGGATGTGGTTTCTCCAGGCAGAGATATATTTCTTGAGTAGGCTAAGCGTTGTCTGGCTTCAGAAAGTTGTCCACTTGTGGAAGGCAAGCTCCTGAGGGAGGTGGATGGGCTGTCCTGGCTAGGTAAGGGAAGCTGTCTTGAAACCGTTCTAGATTTTGGTACTTTGGCCTGAATATTATTCTCCTTTGCGTGGTGTTTATCATTTTCAGGTTGTGGTTTGGGCACAAATCTTCCTTGTTTATTTCTGTACAAATGTGGTTTATTCTTTTCACAGATGTCAGGCTTTTTGCTGAATACTGTGGAGGTCTTTGGAGGCAGAGTTCCTTTTTCATCCTGCTTGTGAATTCTTTCAGCGGGTTGGGAGGGTTTCACAAGAAGAAAGCGAGGAATCAAATGATTAGGATCCAATGTGGAGTTGGACTCCTTGTCCGCAGACTGGCGCTGCTTCTCTGGTGAGTCTTTGGATGACAGTCTGTTTTTGTGAGGCTGGGCATTACCAGTTCTACAAAGATGCCCCACAGTTTCAGTTGAAGGTCTGTTTTTTGCAGAAACTAAGTCATCACCAATGTCCTCTGATTCTGACAAGAGTAGATCTTGTGTATTTGCTTTCTTTTGGCTAAAACAGCTTTTTTTAACCACTTCGTCAGAATCACAGAAAGTTACTCTTCTTTTTAAGGTCCTTTGTCTGTTGGTCGTGTTTTGAACATGCTCACGTTCACCTTTAGCTTCAATCGGCTGTCCACTCTTTTTCACACTGTGTGACACATCAGAGCATGCATCTTGCATCACTTCTTCATACTGTGTAACATAAAGTTTAGACGGGTGCTGTGACAGTGCTGAGTCTGTAAAAGAGAGTTGGGTTTCTTCTTCAGCAGTTTCACACTCACTGTCCTCAGTTCGAGAGGTCTTTCTTGTTTCTTCTACACATGAGTTATCATCACTATCCGACCCCGAAGAGAAATAATTTTTCCTGCTTGTCTTTTTATAGTTTTGGTAACTGTCATCCTCTGAGTCAGTGTCATGGATTGTAATAATTTCTTCTTTTGAAACATTTTGTCCGTTATGTTGAACATGCTCAGAGGGAGCTTTGGTGCCAATCATCTGCTGCTGTGCTGGTAAGTCTCTAGATGGCAGGCTGTTATTTTGAAACTTTTTTTCAACAGTTTCACACCAACTGTTCCCAGCATCTTCACTGTCGTCTGAGCTTGAAGAGAAAAATCTCTTCCTTTTTGCCTTCTTTTTGCAATATTGGTCACATTCATCCTCCGAATCAGAACCACTGATAAATATCTCATCCTTTTTTGAAATCTTTTTTCCATTGGTTTTGGGATGAACACGCTTAGATGCAGCTTTGACTTTAATCAGCTCCCCAAGTCTTTGCAAACTGCTAGACTTGTTAAAGCAGCTGGTTTGAACTTTTTGCGTATTTGTCACATCAGAGTTTACACCCTCTTTTGCAGACACAACTACATCTGTCTCTAAGGGCAGAGGTGCTGAGCTCTCCAACAATTTCTTGGACACTGTCATAAAGTTGTGCTCTAATTCGGGTGAGTAATCAAGGCTGTCTTCAGTTTCACAGCTGTCTACAGACTCTCTCCTGCTCTGGGGTGTAAGTGGTTCTCCCTCAGAGTCCATTTCACGCTCAGGTGTGCTCCTCCTTAGTGCCAACTCAACCACTGTCTTAATTTCCATAGCTGTCTTTTGTTGTAAGGTTGCAAGTGTGTCAAATACCTCTAAAGGGGAAAAAGCTGAAGCTTCTGGTTTTGGAGATGGCCAGTGTGTTGGAATTGTGTCACACTGCTGTTCTTTTTCCCCTGTTTCCCAAACATCATGCACATTTTCTTGTGGGCTATCCTGGTCTTGCTCATGTGCTTCAAAGTTAAGGTCTGACACAACTATGGGAATTATTAACCAGTCATCATCCATCTCATCATCAGTCTCCTCTCTATCTTTCAAAATGGGGTAAGGACTACATGAAATAGAGTGGTTTTCCTGTTGCTCACTGTCATATTTTGGACATAACTGACCTTCAAAACCAGGATCAGTTTTAGAATATTGTTGTGCTACAGTAAGTGCCTCTATCTCTGGTGAAACCTGCTTCTTTGGAATCAGTTCCTCATCTGAAATGATATCCGTCGTCATCAGAGCCTGACCCTGCACGAGTCCATAAGCTTCATTTTCAAATGGTGACTGCTTAACTTTGGGTTCAGGTGCTTGTGTAGGTGAAGATGTCTCACCAGAGATATACTCAATCTGTTGACTTTCGTCCTCACTTATATATTCATATATTGGGTTTTCAGAACATGCTAGAGAGCGTACTTCCCAGTGCTCTAGGTTTGGAAGTTTTGTGTCCAGCTGTGGCATGTCATTATCTGATATGTCTTCATATAGTGGATTTTTTACAGTGTCCGTGGAGAATGCTTCCTCACCCTCGCTTTCATATGGAGGGGCATGTTTTTTGGCTTCAGAGAGTGACATGCTTAAATCAGTTTGTGAATCCACACACCCTGCGTCCTCTCCTAGATCTTCACAACTTGTTTGGGTGCTCAGCCATTCACTGTGGTTTATAGGAATTGATACTACATTTTGAATCTGAGTTTTATCAAGTGATGAATTTAACTTGGAATGAGCAGTTGCTTTTTTACTGGTAACACCACAATGTTGTTGATCATCAATGCTTTTCTTTTTCTTTGTATTTGCGATTAGATTTTTACTGAGTGATGTGGATTGGAATGTTTTGTTTTTAGGTGCGACTGAAGTTGACTTGGTTTGAAGATCCTCTGAGATGTCAGTTATACTTTGCACACTGTCCAACCCTTCTGCCTCCACTAATTTTAGGGCTCCACTCTGCCGCTCTGGCATGTATCGTTCTCTGTCATCAGGCACTTCAACTTTTGTGTCCAAATCTTTGGAATTTGACCAAAGAGAATTGTTTTGTTCTTGTGACATGCTGCAGTTGAGCGTTAAACTGGTTTGCTTCTCAGTCAGATCATCCAGGGTCATTCCAGGCATGGATGTGAGAACCACTCGACTCTCATCTTCATTCTTTGTGCAGGTGAAAGCAACTTCCCTCATTATTTGTTGATATTCTGTGGATGTAAAAAGATGAATGTTATCTATATTTCCATTCCAAAATTGTTGCAGTATAACTTCAGAAAAATTCTCCATCTCTGCAATGGTCTCTACACTCTCCAGACTAGCAATGAGCTCCTTCAGTGCAGTTAATGAATACTGAAGAGTGGCCATGCCATTCTTTAAGTACTTATAACACCATTTACTATAGAAACTTTTATCATTGCTATCAACAAGTGCTTTATAGTCGCAGTCATCTGAATAAACAAGTTTGCAATTGCCATTTGCAGGCATAATTACATCCAAGTGCTTTTTTACTGACAAATTAAAATCTACTGATGCACTCTCAACAGGGTTAATAGCAGCAGCATGTTTTGAGTTTTCTACAGCAAAGGCTAGTGTACCTGATGAATTTTTCTCTGATGCAGACGTAGCACAATAATAACTGTCATTTTCAAATAGTGACTGCTTAACGTTGTGTTCAGGTGCTTGTGTATGTGACAACGTCTCACCAGCGATATCCTCCATCTGTTGACTTTCATCCTCACTTACATCTTCATACATTGGGTTTTCAGAACGTGCTGGAAAGCTTACTTCCACATGTTCCGGGTTTGGGGGTTTTGTGGCTGGCTGTATGTCTTCATAAAGCAGATTTTTTACAGTGTTCATGGAGAATGCTTCCTCACCTGATGCACTCTCAACAGGTTCAATTTTGGCAGCACATTTCGAGCTTTCTACAGCAGAGACTAGTTTACCTGTTGAATGCCTCTCTGATGCAGATGTAGCACAGTCACCTGTCTCTTTAACCCTGTTTGTAAATTCAGCATTTGTTTTGCTGCCCTTTGAACTGTCCTCTTCAAGTTCTTGTCCAACTGCAGCAGTATACTGCTCAGTCACAGCACAGTTGAGACTTTGCCATTCCACATCTTCTTTGTCAGGGGCGGAGGTTGTGGGGAGATGGGCCACACTGTTGACCTTTGGCATGATGCTGTCAGGCTGTGGTGAGTAGACCCTGTCTGAGTCCTTATTGGAATGTTCGTACTTTATGTTTTTCTGAGTTAAAATAGTCTGATATTCTGCAATACTTTTATGAACAAAGTCCAGTATATCGTCATCTGTAGGCGGTTTTGTTTTTCTCACAGGATGGACATTTTCTGTGGATGACTGACTGCTTGGAAAAGGAAACATAACCTGCTGCTTGACTTGCTGAGCTTTGCAGTGTCTTCCATCTGAAAGATTTGTAATAGTAATGACCTCACTGTTGGCATTAGTTTCCTCTGATGAAGACGACGATGTGGTAGAGTATTTGGAATCTGAATCATTTCCTTTCTGTAAGGCAGGCAGCAGTGGACAAGATTCAGTGGCAATGGTACTGGGTGATGAAGCAGAATTCAAATGTCTTTGCCGTAGTCCAGGATTTTTGTTCAAATTTGACCCTTTCAGGGAATGTCTACTAAAATTTTGCCTGTGGCATTCCCTTTGTTTTCCACCATTATAAACAGATTGTCTTACAGAGTTCTCATTCACCAATGTCCCAGAGTAACTGCTGCATTGTTTAGAGACATGTACTGATGTATGAAATTCAGCATTATCTTCTCTGCTTATTTGGTGGTGACTGTTCCAAGAAGTATATTTACTATCTGTGGGTAACGGATGCTGCAACCCAGTGCTTACTTTGTTTGCCTGTGACTCCTGATGGTGGTGGAGTTCCTGGAAATTTTGTTGTGATTGTGAATAGCCTGGCTTCAACTTAGCTGGAGTGTGAGCCACTCTAAGCTCCCCAGGATATTGAGTGGCTACCATATTGTTTTGTATTCCATTTTCAGGTTGAACCACTGGTACAGGTGCAGTACTGATGTCCTGAGGTGATGGGAGAACACCAACATTACTCCGGCACTGGAACGCAGAATACGCCCCTCCTTGGCTGTGTGGAAATCCAGATCGCATTGCATGCAGAGCAATCTTTCAAGCGATGACTTCAGTTCACTTCTCAGGTCTAGAAAACAAACAAAGGAAAATCAGTGGTCAACTAGTGTCATAATCACTACATTATGTGTCTTTTTTTAAGCAGGGAACCTAAAGCCAGATTTTTGGTAGCATGCTTAATACCACTGATGAGTGTTGCTCGACAGAAATTATGAAATTTTGACACTTTATTTTCATATCACACACCTGGAAAGTTTGTTATGTTGCGGACATAGTCATTTTTGCAGTGCTACTAACAATGCCATGGATATAGTAGTTTTCAATCCAATCCACACCAACTCTGACATGCTTTTCATATCTCTCTCCCCAGAAGTATCCCTCAGTCAGCTGCAGCTCATAGTAAGATGAGAAGACAACAGCTGGTCAAATTTCCTTCACCAGGCTGACTGGAAGCAGATATTAACTGAACCAAAATATTTCAACATTCAATGTAGATAGGGCTTCGTTAAAAACAAATATACAGCCGGATATTTCTGTGATTTAAACAGCTGTTGGTGCAGATTATGCATCACTTAACATTACAAATAGTCTTGGACCATAAAAAAAAGTGTCTCTAGTTACAATGGAGACGACCCTAAACCTTTCACTTAAGCATAGATTGAAAATGGCACCTGACTGTTAAATTTCTATCAAGCAAAACTCATCAAAAGTATCAAGTGTCCTACCATAAATGAGGCTTTGCATTCAACAACCTCTTCTTTTGGGGCGAGTTCCTCAACCTTTATTTGAGAGCTGCTCAGGTGGTGGTTCTAAATTCAAGTACCAGATACTCTCAAAGGGAAGGGAACTTACTTTTCAAATGTTTTTTTAACAGATATCGAACAATGTTAAATAAGTTCTAAAATGTCCTTGCAGAGCTCTGGCACCTGTTGTACAGTCCTTCCTGTAACAATACCAACAACCACACTAAGTTAGCTAAATTTGTGGCTTCAACAACCAAAATGGATGGTTCTTGTAACCAACGCTACAGTGTCCATTATTTTTATGTACACCCTACTCTAATGTACACACTACGATTACACCTGCTTGGAAAGAGGTGAGAAATAACGAGAATTACTGCCACGCAGTTTTAAGCCTCCTTACTGCACACCACTCAAGTTTCTCGAACAGTTTACATCCATGTCTGTGAAAGCATAGATACTTCACACCCATTGTCCCAACGACAGCACAGAAGATCTGTACAATAAGCACAGTTTCAAGGTGGGCACCCAAAATGAGTGTCATTAATTAAGTAAACTGACTAAGCATTTCCCCTTCTGCTCCCTAGATATGACATTGAATAATAGTCAGAAAAATGTTTTATGCAGAAAATTATGATGTCACAGTTGACCTTTGACCTTTTGAATAAAAAATGTCATCACTTCATTATATTATCGTATTGGACATTTGTGTGACGTTTTGTCATAATAAGCATATGAATTCTTGAGGTTATGACCAAAAACATATTTTGGTAGGTCACACTGACCTTGACCACAAAATTCTTATCAGTTTATTAAAAGTGGATGTTTGAATCAATTCTAAAGTAATTCCCTTATGGTGTTCTTGAGATATCATGTTCACAAGAATGAAACAGATGAGGTCACACAGACTTGACCTTTGACCTATAACCAATAAAATCTAATCAGTTCATCACTGAGTCCATGTAAATGTTTGTGCCTATGGTATTCTAGAAATATCATGTTCATGTTCATGAGACAAAAAGGTCACAGTGACTTTAATCCCTGACCCATGACCACTAAAATCTAACTCAGGTCACTGAGTCCAAGTGAATATTTGTGCCAAATCTGAAGAAATTCCCTCACGCTTTTCATCAGATACTGTGTTCACGAGAAGAAGATGGATGCAAGGTCACAGCGACCTTGACCTTTGACTGTGATAATCTAACTCATGGAGGTTACTCCTCCAGTCTAAGTCAACCTTTGACCATGATAATCTAACTCATGTAGGTTACTCCTCCAGTCCAAGTCAACCTTTGTGCCAAATTTGAAGAAATTCCCTCATGGTGTTCTTGAAACACTGCGTTCAAGAGAATGAGATAGACAAGGTAGCAGTGACCTTGACCTTTGATCTACGTCAACCAGAAACTACTGATATAGACAACTCCAAAACATAATGCCTCTAGCCATGGCTATCGCCGGTGCAGAGGTATAAATACCTGCGTGGAAACGCCAAACATTTGGAAAAAGAATCTTGACATATCACAAAAAAGATGGAAAAATGGAATATTAATAAAAGGTAAATGTGACTAAGTGTAATGCAAACAGATTCAGCGAATAAATTATGATGTTCAGTCTTGACATGTCACTGCAGTGGCCACTGCAAACTCTCTTCACCGTTTCTGGATGGCTTTTAATATGCCTATGTATACACACAAGGCTATTACCAGAACTCTTCAAAGAACACATAGCTGTAATATTAGTTGCTCAAAACCCTGTGTTAATACATTCATTTTTTCTTGGTTTTTGACTGGTGCTGTTTAAATTACATCATTTAATTGCACCCTATTCTTTCGACAGGGGCTTTGTTCAATCAATCAATCAATTTTATTTATAAAGCCCAATATCACAAATCACAATTTGCCTCACAGGGCTTTACAGCATACAACATCCCTCTGCCCTTTGGACCCTCACAGCGGATAAGGAAAAACTCCCCCCCAAAAAAAACCTTTAACGGGGGTAGAAACCTCAGGAAGAGCAACTGAGGAGGGATCCCTCTTCCAGGACGGACAGACGTGCAATAGATGTTGTACAGAACAGATCAGCATAATAAATTAACAGTAATCCATATGACACAATGAGACAGAGAGAGAGAGAGAGAGAGAGAGAGAGAGAGAGAGAGATGCAGGACAGACGGTAATGACAGTAGCTTACAGCAACATTAATGAAAGTAATAATATTATAGTTATAATTCTGGCTACTGTGGTACAATATGTTGAAAGTATATATTAATATCTGGCAGTATACATGTGTGACAATAATCATATGTGTATAATAACAGTAGAAGTATGACTAATGAATTGTTGCCACCTACTGCTTATCTAAATAAACCAACTACAACTATTAAACAGTTGAGGATGGAAAAGGTATGGCATAAATTTACATTTCCATTTTCCAATTTTCTGGAAATTCAGTAAATGCGTGCTACATTTGGATGAAAACCCTTCTTCTCATCCTGTCTCTGAACACAAACTTCAGACAGTGCCACTGCACTCAGTCCTTGGCACCTTTTACACTGCCTGTTCAAGGCAGGAATATTGCGCCATTATTCCACCATGCCATTTTGTATATAAGGTAGGGATGTAACGATTACAGGTAAAATGATAAACCGCGGTAAAATTAGGTAAAGTTAGTATTACTGTTTCAAATTTTAATTATCATTAAAACCGTATTTGATTACCCCACTTCGAAAAACGGTGATACTGCTCATTGCCTGGAAAAGTAGCAGCAGTAGTCCCTCAGACACATGCGCAGTTTGCAATGTTTGGCCTCTGAAAACATGGCAGAAGGCACCGAGGGGTCATCCCTATGTTTCCAGGGTTCTATGTTTCCCGCTTGGTTGAGTGGGCAACATAGAACCCGGGAAACATAGAACCTTTTTTTGCAGGGTTAAGTGGGGAACATAGAACCCGGGAAACATAGAACCCTGGAAACATAGATACGCTCCCGGCACTGAAGGCACCCGCACGGACAGTGCTCCGCAGATTTTTTCCCCCTCTAAAAGGACAAAGTCTGAAGTCAGGACGTATTTTGGATTTTATAAGGATGCTGAGGGGAAACTAATTGAAGATAGTCACCCTGTCTGCAGAAAATGCAGAAAAAAGTCTCCGCTAAGGAGGGTAACACACAAATTTGATGAGCCATCTCTTATTAGTTCAGTCACTGTGTCTGTTCATGTGCCAGCCGAATTGTTGTTGTAGTAATGTAAAAAGTGCCAGCAGATGGAAGGAGTGTAGTGTAATGTACTGATTTACTAAAGACATATACTGTACCTTTTAGTTGACTTTTAAAAGATACGTGTTGAAGCAGTGTACTCTGTGCATTGACAAATTACACACTGGTTTATTATTTCATGTATTCCTATGACACACACGCTCACTGAGCATTTAAGCATTGTGGTGGAGAAGTACCTAGGCATCATTTCTAAAAATAGCATGAGAATGGGCTCAGAAACACTGGTGGAAAATTAGGGGAATTACAGCTTGTCCTGAGAATGACCCTAGTAAGAGGAGGCGGTCTTAGATTGTCTAGCAAAAACATTACTCAGCAGAAATATGACACCATTATGGTGGTAGGATGAAAGGAGAAAAAGTGACTCAGCAGAGGTGGGATATCGTTACGATCAGATCCAAGTGGGAAGGATTAAGAAAGAGATGACTCAGCAGAAAATCTTTACAATAAAAACAAGTGCGCAAACAAAGAAATTTCAGTCTTGCTCCGGAGCTTGACTCATTGGGTTGTGATGTGTTTGTTGCCTGCGAGCACATTAAACTCAGTTGCATCTGATTCTACGTGTCTCCAGTGATTTTTTTTTACCTCTGAGTATTTGAGTTTGAGAGGAAAAGAGCGAGGTCGCGAGCTAACTGGCCCAGCTCCCGACCATTTAAATTATTTTGCTCCAACAGAAGCTACATTTGAAGTACCGTACGCAAACATACAAGTCACTGAATCCTCCACAAGTTCCTGCAAATGTTTCACAATAAAAGCCTATTTGGAAAATGGAGGGATTCTCTCAGCCGAGGTTATAAGGGGCTTTTCATCTGAAACAAATTCAGGAAGTGTTGAGTTTGAAATGACGCACGATGCATTAACTTTATAAAGCCAACGGAAGCGGATAAAAAGCCCAGAGGCTGTTCCAAAGATATTGGTGGCAGACGCACCCAGGCCTGAGTCATTGTGTGTGTGCGTGATTTCTGTGGTTTGTAAGCCAAGTGAGACGTTCTATGCTCAGCATGCCCCATTAGCTAACTTTCTCATTACCTCAGTAGGCTAATATATCAGGCTGTCAGGTGAA